CATGTGTATATGAATGTGAAGATCGTGTGCATTGATTGGTTGCTGAGCTGATTGGTTGCGATTGTCAAGTCGAATCGCTACGATAAATATGTTTTTTAAAAGAGATCAACTAAATAGCTCAACTCAAAGCGTTCAACAGAAAACCAAACCGAAAACAATCGAAGTCAGACGAGAGGAAGATAAAGATAGAGAGAGATAGCGAATGAAGCGTTAAAAATCAAACGATTTTAGCTGCTTAAGGCGAGCTAGATTTTATTTTTCAGTATTAATAAATACGTTATTTTTTGACAATATTTTTTTTTTTAAATACATTTTTTGTAAATATATCATTTGTATTGCTTTTTAGCTCATAAAGTAATCAAATCAATTATTTTATTAAATTTGAAATAGCCCGAACTTAGATTTCAGCGTGAAAATATATTACAATAATTATTTGATACATTTTCTAGTTTTTATTTCATAAATATATTTTTATTATATATTTATTATGTTTTTATTTAAATTAAATTCTTTATAATTTATTTGTATTTTAATATTACTTTCTTTCATCGCATATTTATTTATAATTAATATAAAATAACAAAAAAGAAATGCATAGTAATAAATCATCAGTTTCTCTTATCTCAGCTCTACTGTAGTTTGTCCGTATTAATTAATAAACATTGTCTGTGTGGGGGGCTGCACATAAAAAGCTCAAAATTAAAATCTTAGCGATGCAAATTGCGTGCGCTGAGCCAAGGCAGATGAAGCCAGAAAATGAGTGAAAACAAAAAAAAAAAGCTGTAAAATTTCAGGACTAATTGGGGAAAGGATTCGGAATGTTGCCATAGCATATAGTTGTAAATAAATTAATGAGTTTTGCAGCAAAGAACGAAGAGAGAAGAATTGTTGCGTAATTAGCATATTATGCAAATTATCGCAATCTGTAAAGGCGAAAGACAAAGCATTGACCAGACTGTTTGACTCGGGCTCAACGCCTTTCACGCAGATAAGACAACAAAGGGGCTGAGGGAGGATTATGATTTTGGCTGATATGCCTGCCTACGCTATCGTCTTCCATTCAATTAACATTCGCCACGCTACATTTACCCAAGATGCTGAAAATGCGGCGCCCTCATAAGTATGCAATACTTTTTGCTGTTTGTACAGCTGCGAGCTGCGCAGCTAAGCAGGCCTGGGAGCTTGATGTTAAACGATTGTCTTGCCGTAATTAAAACTTTTGTCAACGTTGACACTGCGGATACTCAGCTCGGTCTTTTGCAAATTGATGAGCCAGCTTTTCTGCAAATAGCCCAAAGACCCCGCAGAGCTGCGTGTGAACTGTCGAAGCCAACGCAAAGCGTTTGTGTTTAAATAAAAGACATTTTTTGTTCATTCCATTTCGCCCTCTCTTGCATTTTTCCTTTTTTTTTTTGTGGCCATAACAACTGCAATCGTCGCCTGCAGAATAGAATGAAATGCCAAATTTCAATGTGCGCGCACACAGCCGGAAGAGCAAAACGGAAAAAAAACGAAACCGGGGGAATGGAGCATTGGGTAAATGGAGCTGCGGCTTACGCCGGCATTCCTGAGTGGCGGTGGTGGCAGGGGCAGCGGGAGGAGGATACATGTGCAGTGCATGCAATCGACAGGCCACGTTGCGGCTGGTGCCAAGTTGGCTACACTCGCTAATTTGTAACTGTGCTGCGGTTGACTACGAAATGGATACCTCCAGCCTGTCAGGATCAGTTGCTGTGGCACGTACCACCCAAGCAGCGAGCTGAATCCAGCTGAAGTTGAGCAAGCGGGGGCTGGCATTAATATGCAAAACACACAGCCGCAGAGAGAGACAGAGACAGAGAGACTGAGATAGAGAGAGAGAGAGAGAGAGAGAGAGAGAGAGAGACTGGCTGATGCTTTACTTCTGCTCTTGCAAATAATTCGCTTTATTTGGCACTCATCACGCGCGCTGATTGATTGATTGGTGGATTGATTGCCGCCAATGTCAGGCCTTCAATTCAATTAAAACATTTTCGTTTAAAATTTTTATTCACATGCAAAAAAGAAATATTTATATATTTATACAGTGACTTCATATGCTCACAATTAAATGAACTTTTACTGCAAATGAGAAATTGGTTCGACATTTCAGTTGATTTACAATAATTATGATTGATTTCTGGCCTATTGGTCGTAAGTGCACTCTGATTGCTGCTCAATTTGTGCATATGGGCGGTGCAATGGGGCGCAACAAAGGAAAAAGAAATATAATTAGGAAATTCAACCGACTGGCACGGCATGGCATTCTTTTCAACAAATTCCAGCACAGGGCGCACCGCATTGCACGGGATTCCAGCAGCGCCTGCTGCAACCAACGCGGCGTATGCGCAATATGCAAACCAAAAGAACTGTGACTAATGAGCTCTATTTGGCTGCAGAGCTCATACAATGAGTGCTTATGCATGAAATGGGCGTGAAATAAGACAATTGGATGGAATAATATTGTTTTTGGCTTGCCGAGCGAGCTCTAATGAAAAGAGTTCACAATTATATCGAGCCACTTGGCGTATACTTAATGTGAGTTGAATAGAAACAAGAGTTTTACAGAAAGTAAAAATTAAAATAAAAGCTAAGAGTCTCATTAAAGGTCGATTTATATATAAAAAATTAAAGAAAACAACGGTGGAATTAAATATTAATAATTTATTTATTTAATAATTAAATAAAAATATAAAAAATAAACAAATTATTGTTTCTTTTATACTTTAAATATTTATTTATTATTATTTTTTTAATAAAAATATTGCTTGTATATTTTAAATAAGTTAAAATTGGAAGCCTAATAAATTTTTTCTTAATTTTTTAATTTTATATATTTAAAAATTAATTTTTGATTTAATTGTATTTTTTCTTAATTTTTTAATTTTATATATTTTAAAATTAATTTTTAATTTAATTTTATTTTTTCTTTTATATTTTATATTGTTATTTTATTATTAATATTATTATTATTATTATTATTTTTTTTTTTTAAATATATTTGTTTTCAGATGTATTTTTGATTTCATTTCGACAAGACACTGACTGTGCTAGTAAGGAGTCTGCAAATTTATGGGCATGTTTTATGCCTCTTTGTAAATGTCATTTGAGAGCTTTTGACATTTGATATGCATAAAATCAGATACAGCTATCCATAGTATGTAATTCAATTGAACTTATCAATTTTTACAACTGGCAAAAGTTCTCTTAACTAAAATAAATCTGTCAAATTGTCAGCGCAATCGCAGTCGATGGAGAGAGAGAGAGAGAGGGAGATAGATAGAGAGAGTGTGTGTGAGATAAAAGACAATAAAGTTCAGCCGGCGCTTGTAAACTTAATTTGTATATATTAAATTATTTTTAAATTAACAATTTAATTGATTTATACAACAACATCATTTACGGTTAACCGAATGGGATTGCTTGTCGCAGCGCGAGCGCAAATGCTTCTTCATTCTCTGCATTTGCCATAAAAAGTGAGCGTCGGGCCTGTCATGTAAATCATTGGCAATTTAATTGAAAAGATTAAATATTAAAAATATCAATATTTAATTGATTGCAGTGCAGTTGCTGTCTGTCCCTCACTGACCCATCGCCCTTCCCTTCTCCACTCCCCCACTATTCCCCAGGCATTGACATCAGCACAGACGTCAGCTTAACTGCATTAATTTTATGTTGCATTGCATGTTTACTTCACGTTTTTATCCCATTTTGTTTTTATTTCTGCTTTTTTTTCTGCCAGGTTTATGAAAAGGCACTGCAAATTTGTGCGACTTTAATGACAGCTGATTATGTAAATTAATTTTTAAATGAAGAAAAATATAAATAAAAAAGGATTGGCAAATGAATTCTGAAACTTTGCTTTCTGATTTGCCTATTAAATATGATTTGCCTATTAAATATGCGGGATTAATTTTTCTAAATATTTAAATAATAAATGAATGAAATAATGAATTATATCTTTTTTTTTTTTTTAATAAGCATATATTTCATTTTTTTTATTCATTTTAAATTAATTACAGTAAGAAGAATTCATATATTTCAAAACAATAATAATTATGTCGTATACAAATATTTTATAATAAATAAATGAGTTAAAGTTTTCATTGGATTTTAAATAAATAAATCAAGCCAAACTTTTTTTAATTTATGAAAATATTTAGTGCAAATAATATTAATATAATAAGCAGTAATCAAAATTGAGAAAAACTTCCACTAGTTCATAAAAAAATTTGAAAAATCTATGGTTGGCGCATAAGCACTTTATTATTTTTACTCAAATCAATAAATTTATATTTAAGGTAAACAAAGCAGCGCAGCGCTGCGATAAACATTTAAATATTATTTTCTTGTTAGCTGCTTAACTTGTTGTGGGTGCTTTGAATATTTAACAAACGAATGTGCTCAGAGCATACAAATGCCGCTGAGACTTGCTGAGACTCAATGCCGCAAACGCAAACTCAAACAAAATGTATTACAAATATAGCTATATATATATAGATGTATGTATGTATGTATGTATATAATAGGGTATACACACTTCGTTAGGCATCGATAAATATTTACACACATATACACATACATCATTTTCTTCGGCTTAAACTCTTGTGTTTTGTTTACCCCGGCAAAGAGGAAAAGAAAACAAAGGGAATGAAAACCGAAAAACCAAAATCGAATAAAACGAATAAAGCGAACAAAAAAGAAAGAAAAACATAAAGAGTTGGCAAGTTGATGCGACAGGCAATTTACTGAATTATTAAATACGCTTTTAGGGGTAGGCAGAGCCGAGGGCCTAACGTGGCGACTGGATCTAAGGGCTAAGTGCAGCCGACATCACAGCACATACGACACACATACAACAAACACATGGTGAAATTTTGATGAGCCCGCCGGCAGTTAATGTGCATGTCTTTTGATTAGATTTTATGTAAATGCTGTGGGCAGACAAACGGCGCATATAAAACAGGCAATAAGCAGGCCAAAGACAGACGACGGCTAAGACTAAGAATAACGCTAAGACTGAGGCTAAGACCAAGGCTAAGCCCAAGACTGAGTTGCATCGTAAAACAGCTAGCCAGAAATCAAATAAATATATAATCAAGCAACTGCCGCAAAAGTATGCCGCGCTTTTTCAAAATTAGTATAAATGTGGCACGGCTGGGGGCGGGAAGGTGGGGAGGAGGTCTGTGGCCCAGACTGAGGTTGAACTTGAGGTTGAGGTTGGGCCACTGACTGATTGCGCGCTGGTGTGCGCCAAAGGTGAGCCGAATAAAATTGCTTAAAGACGACACAAATTCTGTTACAGTTGTCCCCAAAGCAGCTCGCATTGAGTCAGAGGGGGCGGTACGGCGTGGCCCGTACTTCCGGGAGCTGTGTGGTTTAATTAATTAAAGGCGTTAAGGCAAAATAAAGACTCGCACTTGGGGGAGCGGCAACAGTTTTTGTGTGCTTCCTGTGTGGATTACGTGAGCCTGTGTAGGTGTGAGTGTGTGTGTGTGCCATTCAGATCGTGTGCTTTGTTAGCTATTAGCGCTGACATTGTTAATCCGCATCATGAGCCTCGCATAAGACATGCAAATTATAATAATATACTATTTAATTAACTATGTGAGGGTACTCTGGGAAAATTATGTGTACTTTAATAATCAGAAATCTGGAATGCAACAATGAAAGCTTGTTAGCAAATCTTTGAAACGACATACATGTACGAGATGCCCCGGCGTGGTATGAATATTCAGCAAACTTTGAACTTTAACACACCCACTTAAATAATAAATAACCTTTATTTTACGTCAGGGACTAATAAAAAAATACAATATGATGGAAGTTTTGGATATTATTTTTATACATTTTCTTTGCTTTCTTTATGCTTATATTAATATTGATTTATATTTATATATATATTTTTTTTTTAGCTTAATAGTTTATTATTTTATTTTTGAATTTATTTGGTAAAAACTTTCCAGTAAACTTTTTTTATGGTTTTTTTTATTTGTTTAATTTTTTTAATTAGTTTTATGTTGATTGGAATTAATGGAATAAAATAATTAATAATAATATTCTTACTATTATTTTGTAAAAAAAAATTTTTAAAAACTAAAAGAGTAAATATTTATTTCTATAACTACTTATAATTTACATATTTTAAAATATTATAAATTGAAACTATTATTGGTAATGAACAGAAGGTTTTCCAGTAGGCCAAAAACTTTAATGCCATAATAACACTAATATTTTAGCACATCTGTCCATAAGCAAATATCTAATATACGATATGAAGCATATCTATTGTACGATTAACAAGCTCTCTCTTATCAGCCCTCAAGTATTTTCTTATCAAATAGCCAACACTTAAACACATTTAAATCAAATAACTCAGCATCTGAAGTTCACAGAGTCTATTCAACAAATTGTTCTTAAAATAAACACGAACAACATTTCAATTTCAATGTGGAAATGCCGCATTTGATTGCTTACCTGATTTTCAATTAAACACATTTAAATGCGCTTGCGGCTGCTTTTGTAATTTGGCTTTGACATGAACTTTTAGACAAACATTTTGGCTGAATATTAAGTAGCTTTTCCTTGTCTAGCTGTTGTTGCTTTTGTTGTTGTTTTCGTTGTTACTTCTTAAGTGTTTTATAATTTACTTTGGTTTACACGAGAATAATTTAAGTAATTGATTTAGCTCGGAAATTCTCTGCTTATGTCAAACGTTTAAAGAGCCGAGAGTGGAGCACAAACACAAATGCCTAGTTTGATCAAACTGCAGTCGAAAGTTTAGTTTTCACACTGAGATCACCTGGGGGCACTGGAGCACTGAAATGCTGCTTCAGCATATAAAGGGAAATTGAAGTTTTTGTCTAATGTGTGAGTTGCGTATCAATTCCCGGTTGGCAGCTGTTAGTTAGGGTATCTGGCAACTTGACTTTGTCTGTTGCCTCAACTTTAAGTTTGTTGCGACACACGCGTCAAGCACACGTACGTACGTACGCACGCACACATGCACACGCACACGCAACACACACTCGCAAATGTACTGAGTCGAGCGCAACTGCAGAGGAGCGCGCGTGCAGACGTCTCGACGTTGAAAACAGAACTGAACAACGGCGGCAGCTGCTGCGGCGACCGTCCTTAAGCTTCAGCGTGCCGACAGCGAGCCGAAGCAGCACAACCCGAAGCGAACGGCACGAACCAAACGAAGCACTCTTGCGGCGTCGGCAAAGCAGTGCACGCTCGCTCTCTTCGTGCGCTCTCTTCGTGCCAAACTGTTGATTCTTTTTGTTGAACATATTCATTTGTCTGCGGAGCTATGCTAGTATATGTAGGTATGTATGTATGTATATTTATGCGTGTATAATTGTTGTAATGTGACAAATTCTTGATACAAGTCGAGCCAAGCAGCGGGCCGGGCTAACAAATTGCTTTGCATGTCATCAAAACTGAGAACGGCTCGGCCATGAAAATGACAATTCAATAACACATTAAGGCAAACATTCGACTGCGGAAGTGATGGGGGTGGCAAGATGGGGGTGGGGCTATCTGTGGAGTGAGAGAGTTCAGAGCTCAGGGCTCAGAGCGCTGAGTGTGAGTTGTGAAAAAATCGAGCTGATACTTTGTCGTGATGGTGCAACACAATTATCTTTCTTTTCGCCTGTCCCCAAACGAAGGTGAACAACAATGGGTCGATAAATTTAGTTAAGTAAAAGTATTCTGAATAATGCAAACAGTATTTGTATATACATACATATACATATACATACATACAGCGTATACAAAAGCTTTTTGCCTGTGTCACCCTTTTTTGTTTCACGAAATATAATGAGTTGTGTTTGCTCAAGTATAACTCAGGCAGCAACATAATAATGCAATTACAGTTAGGCCTGCTGCATGATATTGTAATCAGATCTCAGCCATAATGATAATCTTGTGAACAAGCAGAAGGCGAGTGATTAAACTTAAGTAAATACTTAGCAAATGTAACTGTAATACTTAGGCTGAAATGTGAATTGAGTAAATTAAATTAAAAGATTAAAAAGAATATATACATATATGTTGGATTATGTATTTATTTAATGGATTATACCAACTTGCTTGGAATATATATTTAATTTATAAAGATTTGCAAAAAGCAATATGGTTTCATATTAAAAAAAAATATGTTGGCATATGAATGCATTCAATTAAATTTAATTTTTAAAATATTAAAATAAATTACAATTTATTATTACAATAATAAAAATTGTTAATTAATGTATGAATAAAATAAATAATTAATTTATATGTATTTAATTAAATATAATTTTTAAATTAATAAATAAAATTGTCATGTAAAATGTAAAAATAAATAAATTTTATTAATGTAGGAATATAATAAATAATAAATTTATATTTATTTAAATAAATATAATTTTTAAGTTAATTTATAAAATTGTCATGTAAAATGTAAAAATAAATTGTAAAAATAAAGAATTTTAATTTATATAAATAATAAATGTATATATTAAAGATTTTCAAAATTACATAGCTTGAAAATAAAATAGAGAAAAATATATAATGCTGAGCTTCATTAGAAATTTTCAAAGTTTAACTTTGGCCACAACTAGTTTTCCCTTAATTGGATTTGAATTTCATAGATCGGAAAAAAATAAAAATTGCTTTTAAATGCTCAGTTTCAGTTTAAATTTGCAAAGTGAAACTTTTGCAGTTTTCTAGTTTTCCCTCAGATGAACCGAGCTGCACTCATTTAACCACATGCCAGGAGAATGTTTCCCTTTTTGTTTTCGACATAATGAGAACTTTGTGTCAGCCCAGCATGGAAATGGAACTGGAAACAAAGCCTTTGTCTGGCTGTCAACATGAATTCCTGTTGCGCTGTTGCGAGCTTGCGCCAATTAAAGCTTAAGCTCGAGCAAATTATACTAACGGCAATACACACATGCTTTGCTACTACATAATGCCAATACTCTTGGCCCAGACAATGGCCCGGCCGCATGATGGACAGCATTTGTGGCCTGTGGTCTGTCCATTGTCCGCCTCGGAGCTGGCCAAGATAAACTCGAGTGTAGTTGCACTTTACACGACACGGAAATAAAAAGCCAGACAGTCAACTGGGAGCAGAGCTGCACTGCAGCACTGCTGCAGCAGAATGTGTGGAGAGCTCAGAAATTCTCAACTGGCTGGCGACAGTTTTTCTTCATAAACACAGGTTTTAGTTGTCCCCAACTGACAGTTGGACTCATAACTTGCCAGCCCCTAAGTGTGATTCATATGTTGGCTCGTTATTTTGGGCTAATGGCCAAGGACTTGGCCTGGCCGACAGCATCCAGCTGCTGGCCGTCTGTCCTATCCGCCGGCTGTGCGCTGTCGCTCAACATTTCTTTTTTTTTTTCGCATCACAGGACACAAAAGGTATTAAAATAAATACATATACAATGGCTAATAAAAATTTCCATATATTTCTCCATTTGCCTGGCACGACATGGCCGTTGTCCTTGCCGCAAAAGCCAAATGAAACACGAAATTAAAATGCCCAGAAGCCACACACAAATAAACAACAAATTTCGTACTAAAAAAAAAAAATGGAAATATAAAAGAAATGGGATTGCAGGGAATGTGGTTGATGTGAATAAAGAACAACTGACGGGGCGTAAGACATTTGGGTTACAATTCTCAATCTATCTATTTATTATTAACACTTCAATGGCGCCAAATAAAAAGGAAACATTTACATGCACACACACATACGTACGTAGATAGATATACACGGATATTGCAAATTCTTAGCAAGAAATTCTTACAACAAATTTTTTACATTATTGCATTGCCGATTGTATACTTTGAATGAAGAATTTATTTTAAGTGTATTATTTAATTTTTTTTTTTTTAATTTTTATTATTATTAGTTTTTAATCTGAAAATTATTTAAAAATTTTATAAAATGATAATAATAGTAAACCTCTTGTAAGTAGCATGCGATAAACCATAGAAGCGAATAAAATAATTATTTAAATAACGTATAAATAATTTGTGCTTATTAATTATAAAAAAATAATTTAAAATAGGTAATGTAATAAACATTAGAGTAAATATATATTAAAAGAAATATATTATTATATATAACATATAATAATAAAAAGTAATTATTAATTATTATTATTGAAAGTAAATATCCAATACAAATAAATTTATATTTTTTATTGTACAATATTTAATGTAATATTAACAACAGTTTAATAATAATTTAAATAAAAACTTTATAAGCTAAAGATGTTCATGAATTCATATTAATTTGTTAATTCAGTTGGATTTGCTGTACAAGCAAAACAACAAATAAAACATTTCAAATTCTTTAGGCTTGCATCAACTGTCCCATAATCTTGATGAATTAGATACAGTCAGACGGCCAGACAGCCAGACAGCAGACAGCTGGACAAACAGAATGACAGCGTATAAGCCTGGCTGTCAATCTGTCCGCTTGTCTGACAATTCGTTTGCATTTGTTGTTGCTGCTGTTTGCATGGGAAAGCTTTTCAAGACCCCACTCGAACAATATGCTGCTATTCTGTATTAATAATTTGAATATATGCATATGTTTAATATAAATATTAATAATGACAAATAATTCTATATTTCGATTAGGACTTAGAATGCAAGTATTTAATGAAATTAAAGAACTTATATGAATGGAAATAGCTTTTTAGCTACAATTTTGATCTCAGCTTGTTATACAAACAAGAAAATATTTATTTCATTGTCTATATCATTTTTAAGTTTTCTACATAGCCTTTTACCGCTTTTTTGTGAAACAACATATTCAAAATTCCAAATTAAAATTTAGCCACAGACATATAGATCGATAGCTGAATAGGCAAACCCATACGAAGCACACACACACACACACACACATATGTGCTAATTTGCATGTCTGCTGTTGTTGTTGTTGTTGTTGCTTTGTCTGTGCTTTATGGCACAAATGAATCGGCATCTTTCGCATACTTTGGTCTTCCAATGGTCCGCTGGCAATAGCTGGCGGCGGCGTCGGCGTCGGCGTCTCCTTTGCCAACAGCGCAGCTCCTGGTTTTCAGTGCATAATCTGTTTGCTTTGCTCGTTCCACGTCTGTGTGTGTGAGTGTGTGAGTGTATGTGTGTGTGCGCTTGTGCTCTGTGAATGCATTGAACCAGAAATATGTAGATATGCCAATAAGAGCGTTTATTGTCTCATTCCCAGCTCTAGCTCTCACTCGCTCCCTCTCTCTCTTTCACTCTCTTTGTGTATTCTTTTCTATGTTTGCATTTGAATTTCGTTTCGTTGTTTGTTTGTGATTCCAGCAAAGTGTGCATGAAAATCGTCAAAAGCGAATTATTTTCAATTTAAAATATGAAATGTTTTCTTTTTCAATGTCTTGCTCTCATTCATCTCCAGCTAATCTCCAAGTCTTTTTAAAAAACTCTCGCTTACCTTGCATATCAATTGTCTCCATTCAGCTGACTTATTGCCACTTTTTTTGCTTTGGCTAGTTCAACTCGAACACTTTGTGCTAAGCTACTGCGTAGTTTAAGATATTAAAATTCGCCCAGACTCTGCAGACCCAACTCAACTCAACTCGGGGCACCAAAGGCACTTGGGGCTGCTGTCAATTGCTTATGAAAACAAGTAGCGGGTGCTGCCACAATGTCTTACAGCTTCAGTTTGTTCATGAATTATTTAAGAAATTAATTAACTAACAAGTTCATAAGGAGAGAGGGAGAGGACTCTCTTTACATTACCTGCACTTTAGCTTATCATAATGATAATGAATTTCATTGTTCAAGCTCAAATTTGAGCTGTACTTAAGCTCTGTTTGCTTATATTTAACTCAGCCTCTGCCTGGGCTGCCTTTCTTTCATTGAGGTAAGTTGCTGGCTAAAGGGGCGTATGCGCAATATAATGTTGGCATTTTTATTGGCCTTAGCCCACACAGCGAGACAAGTATGAAATTGCTTTTCAATGGTGAGTGACTCTTAAATACCCCACTCAATCAATTTGAGGGAACATATCCAACTGGCTGGCAGGACAAAAGGACTCACTGGCCCCACAGCAGCCGTCAGCTGTCCTTAATATCGGTTTTTGTTCTTCCTCATCTTTTTCTTTTGCACAGCTATTTGATTACACATGTGCGTGTGTTTGTGTGTGCGTGTGTGTGCGGAAGATTCTGTGAACTGTAAACTTGAGGACGATTATTTCCACTGCTCAGGCAACTTAGACCACGTAGCAACCATCCTAAACACCATTCATTTCAAAGCTTTACAAAAATTTCGAATTTTTTTTTGTGAAATTTTTATAAAAGAGAGTGTTTTAAAGTGTCCACAAATGACATCTATAGAAAAATGTTTTTTGGCCATTTTTTAGGTCAAATATAAGTAGCTCCATTAACTAATGAAACAGGTGTATGAGTTTGTCTCTAAAGGAAACCTATTGGGGATCAATTATTGAAATTAATTAGAAGTTAAAAAAGAAACTTTACATTACCTTCAGAAAAATATATCAGTTAATTAAGTAAAGGCAAAATTAATATCATAGAAAATATTTTGTTATTGAGGTATTTGTTACTTATTTCACATTATTTCAGTTTATTTTATGTGTTATTTTATTTATTTATTTATTTTTTTTTTTTTTCATTTCAATGCTGTCATTAATTTCAATAATTATTATTATTGTTTTTTATTTTTTTATTTTTATCTTTTTATACATTAATTTCAATATACAATAATAATAAATATTGTTTGTTGTTTTGTATTATTTTAGATTAATATAAATAATAATTATTATTCTTTTTTTACATATGTATATAGGAATATATTTTATTATATTGTTCATTTCAAATTATTTTAAATGATGCAAAAATACTTAAAAATTTTAAAAATATTTTAGCATTCTAAAAAATATATATATAAATATTTTTGCATTCATAAAAATATTTATAAATTTTTAAAAATATTTTTGCATTTTTAAAAATATATATATAAATATTTTTGCATTACTTAAATATATTAAAAATATTTATAAATATAAAAATGGCTAGATATTTATAAATATTTTTGCATATTTTTAATAAGTTTGAAACCAACAAAATAATAAATATGTTTTAATATTTATTGTTTTAATTTCTTCAAATTAATTTAAATATATTTTCTTTATTGTTTTCATTTATCTACAAATCTAAAATACTTGGTTCATTTATCTAGCAGAGCAACATTTTGCCTCACTTCTCTTATCTTATTGTTAAACACATAACAGTAAAGTTGTTTCCTTTCTTCTTCTTCGGAATGCTGCATTGCCGTGGAGCTAATAAAAGATTAGCCACAAAAGTGCGTTAAAATCTGACGCGCCTGCTTGCCCTGCTGTTGGCTGGCCAGGTTGGCTGCCACGGAGCATTCCGTTGTCAACGCCTGCTTGGCCAAAAAGCTTTCACTTTTTCTGGCCAACGGACGGACGGCCAAGGAATTCCATTTGCTCGCATGCAATAAAACAATTTAATTAAATTTTATGTGAGCCAGCGAGCCGAGTAAATGAAAACAAATAAACCACAATAAAGTGCAAGTGAAAACGAAACAGCTGGCCTAGTATTTGTCTCTCTCTGTGTGTGTGTGTGTTTGTGTGTGTGTGTGTGTGTGTGTGTGCGCGTGTGTTGCCTCGTAATTCAATCTCTGCCTCTTATGCATGTGTCTGTGTCTCGACTTGTGCTCAACATTATGCTCATGTCTTTTGGCAATTATGATCTTAATGTCGTGCCCGTCTATTAGACATTGTCTGTCTCTGCCTCTCTCTCTCTCTATCTGTCTCCCTCTACGTGTGTAGCAATTAAGTGCGCATTGTTCACTGGATTTTCAATTTGGCAAACTGTCACACATCATAAGCAACTCCCAACTAAATGCCAACTCATTCGAAACTTGACTTTAAACGCTTCCGTTTCTCCCCTGGATCTATGCACATTTTTCACACAGGCTATAACTCTCGACTGCTCTGATTTATATCTCTGTGTGTGTATGTCTCTCTCTCTCTCTCTGTGTGTGTGTGTGTCTCCCACTCACTTTAAAGTTCTTCCTCTAAGTTACTTTTGGGCTAAGGTCAGGTCGTTTGGTCAATGCTCCATTTGTCTTGTGCGTGTCTTGGCATAGATATTTGCGCATTTATTTGCCCAGCTTGCTCGACTTGCTCGACTTCCCTTGGCCGCCTTGCATTTGCATTCATTTGATAGCTCTTAATTTATTTAACACTTTAACATTCGTTATGATTAGTTACCTCAATGAGACATAAATCTAGATATATGTATGTATATCGTGGCAATTAATCTTGATGTCATTGTTTAGGCCTCAATTAGCCGCTCTAATTACCTTTGCTGAGTGGAAATATTACGCATACGCCACGTGTCCCCAGTGCGTATGAAATGTCAGCGCGCTCTCTTAAATGCCAAGTAATGTGATTTCAAGCAAATTGAGACAAGGCAATTAGCGAGCGCAACAATCAATGTTCAACTCAGCTCAACTGGGCTTGGGAGGTGGGCGTGGCCGGGTAGTCGAGGCCCTGACAGGCACGTTCCAACTTTCTCTTCTGCCGGCAGAGTCGATGCCAGTGAATTAGACGAGATTTGCTGCGTGTGGCACGTGTTGGAGTTTCTGTTGCCGTTGCCGTTGCCGTTGCCTACTTTTATTTGCTGTGGCAGCGCTGGTTAATAAAAGAAAAGGTCGCCAGGTCGGCTAAGCTGTCAAATCCGCTCATTTTCAGTATTTTGTTTATTTTTGGCCCACGCAGGAAACGAATATAAAACCTTTAAAGCCTTTCCGCCTAGCCACATTTTGGCTGGCCTATGATGGCCACGCTGATTGAAATTGCTCTGAATATACGTGTATCCATGTATATATACATTCATATATATAAAACTCTTTCTTTGTAGCCTTATAAAATTCTTCGAGCTGCCTCAATCGAATCAAAAATTTCTCTTAAAAGCTTTTCACGAAATTCTCTAGGCAACTAAATACATTAATTTAGATAGTAAATCGTTGCAACGAGCTACACTTTGCCACACACTAGCACACAGAAGCTGCCTAGCTTAGAGTGGACCACACACTGAGCTGGCAATTACAACGCCCTGAGCCCTGGAGAGCAGATATTTCTTTTTACTTTCAGCATATTGCATTTTGTAGACTGTAGCCGAGTCAAAGGGAAATTTAATTATCACCAGCACAATGGCAGGATGCACTTAGGTGTTGCTCCGCCAGCCTACAATGCTGAAAGGCAAATTGCAGTAGAGCGGAGAGCCGAGAGCACGGGGCATGGAAGCTTGTGCCGATCAGGTGCCCATCACGTGGCGGGGCGAAAATGACGATATGTAGGACGAGCACGAAAATGAGCAGGGCGTGACTGGACTATTAGCTGCTACACATGCAGCAGACACACGCGCACACACACACACGCACACACAAAGAAATTGCAAACATCATCATCGGCATCATCATTATCAACAGCATCAGCATCTGCAGCATCGTCGTCGGGTTGCCAATGCACTTGAATGGAAGCTTAGGGTATTTGTCATGATTGAATTTGAATTGCAGTCAACAACAACAACATCAGCAGCATCAACAACAACAACAACAAACAACTACAAAGAGCATTTGGAAAATCTCCCATGTGCTTATGTGTGGGACTGGCAGCATTGCTTTTCCTTTAGCACATTCTGTTGCCCTTCCTGTTTCGCAGCCAGTTTTCCGTTATCTTCGGCGCACTGTGCACAGCTTTTCCTTGGGGCTGCGCTCTGGCCAAGCGTTTGCTTTTGCGTCTGCCGCCTGCAGCGTCATTTTCCTTGTAAGCTGACTTTGGGCAATGGCCAAGGGTTTGACTGTCTCCCTCTCTCTCTCTCTCGCTCAGCACAGTGAAGAAGAAGAACAAGCTAAAGTTGACCCATTGCAAAAAGCTTTAAGCAATTGCCAACAATGAACAATTGATGCGTTTTAAATGTGGGAGCTGTAAATGAAGCGCATTGCTTGAGCCACTCTCTGAGCGGGTCCTTTGGAAAACGAAGACATAAGAAATGTTGTCTAGTCAGACAAAAAAAGAAGAATAGCGAGTGAGGGAGAGAGAGATGGAGATAAAGTTGCACAGAGCCAGTGCAATACAGATGTGTGTCTTATTTCCTGCTGTTTGGAAATAGATTAAGTCTCAAGTGTGGCATAATATATTATACTTTATTTGCTGGATATATATAGGGAGGAGGAAGTAGTTTATAATAATACAAAGTCATCTATTCTTTGAAGTTGAAATGGAATTGCTGATAGATCTAGTGTGTAATAGGAATTTTAGTTAGGTGGGGGAGGTGGATAAAAATCCTTAATCGGTCGTTAAATACGAATAATTTAAGCACGCATTAGAGAAATGTTAATATAAAAAGGATTCTTAAATAATAAAATTAATAATAATAATAATAATAATAAAAATAATAATAATAATAATAATAATAATAATAAT